GAACCACCCAACAAATCCTCATTCGTCATTGTGTCTATCATGAAAAGTAGGCGTGACGGAACCCCTGCCACCCCGACTGGGTGCCTCCGTCAAATGATGCTCCTAGTGCTCGCCAAGGACCATCAGCACCGAACTCGACACCATAACCACCGCAAACCCCACGAACCGCCACAGCATGGTTTGGGGTTTCGCTATCCTCCACCCACCCTGGATCCAAGACCGGGCTCCAGCTTCCAGTGAGTGAACCTCTCCTAAATCCAGAGAGCAGGAACCAGGAAACAGGAACAAGAACATCCTTTACAAGAGCGTTGAAGGTCAGAAAAGGTAACGTTTCAGCGGTGTTCGTGCCGGCGCGTGTCCGATTTGAGTTCCATGAACTCGACAACCAAACACTGCTGATCACATTCGACTGAATTAAAATGGCCTACTACTTCGGCTGTATCTGAAGTGCCACTTCAAAAGTGCAGAACTGCTCCAATATAATTTAAAAGGGCAGAAACAGTATTTTAAAATCCAATATGCCCAAATACAGCTTATAAAGGGCAAAACATCCATGGGGCTTTGGTCACAGGAAAGGATAAAAGGCACCCAGAACACTTTATCTCAATGCCATGGCCCTTCAATTTTAACTCTGGAATGTAAAACACTGCAGTTTTGTAAAAACAGCAATCTTTCCTTTGCAGGGTTAAACACACCTGTAGTGTCTCTCTTACAGACATCCTCTAGCGAACTAGTCAGACCTTAATTTCTTAATAAAATGTCAAATTCTGCTCCTAGAGAGAATTTAATTGGCGCAGTGCAGCAATTTGCCTCTCACGTGCACTAGCCTGTGATAAATCTTTATGATCTCATTGAGAGAGATGTGACAGCCACAGTGAGACCAATGCAACAAGGGAGTGAAGGTATATAAATCTCACCTTTAAACTTTCACAGGGGAGGAGGGGGGGGACTTTAAAACAGGTAGGGCAAAACTATAGTGTTAGGAATGTTTATATTTCTAAAACTATAGTGTTCATTTAACCCCTTAAGGACCAAACTTCTGGAATAAAAGGGAATCATGACATGTCACACATGTCATGTGTCCTAAAGGGGTTAAAGATAAAATAGTGTCTTTGCTTACCAAACCGAGTCCAAGCTTTTTAGAGCAGGCAAGAAAGTTAGCTGAGCTAATTAATTACACATTCACGGTGCGTCAAAGCACTTACGTTTTTCTTATACATAATTCCCATCATTAATTTTCCACAATTTCTTTCTGCTAATGTCTACTTTGAGCTAATATCAGCTTCATCTAGAGTCCAATTATAGGGAACTTTGGGATGTGCAAAATGCCAATAGTCATTCACTATCTCTATGTAGAGTAGATAGTTAAGTCAAGATCTTCACTCTTGGATATGGGCTGAACAAGAAGTGAACTTTTAGGGTTACCAACTTAGATATTAATTGTTGGGTATTCACAGTGAATTCCAAGTAAATCTCACTTTTCTTGCCGCAACAGCCGAACTGAAAACATGGCTGATTTAGAGACATTTTACATTCTAGTGAATTATTATGTCTTTTGTTTTGTACTGGTTATCTTTACATCAAATTATACAGCAAAGAAAAACATTTCTCAATAAGCACTGTAAGGAGGTAGAAGTACATAGTAGTGTGTCAGTCAACCTTATAATACATTACATACATTATTATTAAAAATAATCATTAATAATTAGAGATACCTGCCATTCTGGTCCTCAGTCATGTATATGTAGAAAGATTCCATAGGGCAAAACGTATCTGTGATATACACTTATCAGCCACATCATTAAAACCACTGACAGGTGAAGAGAATACATTGATTTTATCATTATAATGGCAGCTGCCAAGGGGTGGGATATGTTAGACAGCAAGTGAACAATTAGCTCTTGAATTTCCTGTGTTGGAAGCAGAAACAATGGGCACGTCTTTGACAAGGGCCAAATAGTGATGGCTAGACAACTGGGTCAGAGCATCTCCAAAACAGCATGTTTTGAAGGATGTTCCCAGTATGCAGTGGTTAGTACTTACCAAAAGTTGTGCAAAGAAAGACAACAGGTAATTGGGCTTTAGAATCATGGGTGCACATGGGAAGGCAAGCCCTTCTGATTTGATCACACAGTAAAGCGACTGTAGCTCCAATTACTAAAAAACATAATGCTGGCCATGACAGATCGGTGTCAGGACACACAGTTTGCTGAGTACGGGGCTGTGTGGACAAGCGTCATCATAATAACCCTTTTCTATCACTAAAAGTGTGAGCATCAGAATGGAGCAATGGAAGATTGTCTGGTCTGATGTATCAGGTTTTCTTTTAGATCAGGTGGATGGTGAAGTGTGTATCGTTTACCTGGGGAAGAGATGACAGCAAGATGACTTTGGAAATAAGGCAGGCCGGAGGAGGCAATCTTATGTTCTGCTGCAAAATATTAAGTACTAGCATACATGTGGATGTTACTTTGACAAATACCACCTACCTAGAGCTTGTTGCAGACCACATACAACCCTTTGTGTTACCTGATGAGAGTGGCCTCTTTCAGCATGATAATGCACCCTGCCACACTGCAAAAATTGTTCAGGAATGGTTTGAGGAACATGACAAATGTTGCCTTGGCCTCCAAACTTCCTGGATCTCAATGTGATTGAGCATCTGTGAGATGTGCTGGAACACCAAATCTGATCCATCGATGCCTCACCTTACAACTTGCAGGACCGCTGCCAGTATCTTGGTGCACATTCAGAAGTCTTGTGGAGTCCATACCTGACAACGCAAAACAGTTTTGGCAGAATGGAGCGATCTATATGATATTAGACAGGTGGTTTTAATGTTGTGACTGATCAGTGATTAACAGTTTAAATCAAATAGGAAAGTTCCAAATGGGAAACTCACTAGTAGAGTGACTATGCCTCGTTAAGCCACAAACTAATTTATACTAAAACAAATTAGTAGCTACACATTTTAAATAACAGCGAGTGTTCCAGGAGGGATAAGCCAAATGGAAAATGATTTAGGTATACTAGAAAAATGGTCAGAGTTGTGGCAAATGACATTTAATGTGAATAAGTGCAAGATAATGCATCTTGGATGTAAAAACCCAAGGGCAGAGTACAGAATATTTGATAAAGTCCTAACCTCAACATCTGAGTAAAGGGATTTAGGGGTGATTATTTCTGATGACTTAAAGGTAGGCAGACAATGTAATAGACAAACACAGATAAAGATAAAGATAAAGCACCGCGCTTACAGCAGCACTAGCATAGTATCCAACAGCTTAAAATACATAGTAAAAACAAAGAGAACATTACCTGCACTCTGGCCTAAATCCCCATGTACATTTAAACAAAATGGAGGCTCTTTAGTTTTATTCCAATGGCCATTTGAATATATAAGCTCACCTGCCACGTCAAGGCAAGCCTCAATAGGTGAGTTCCTACACTAGCCATTAGATATGCTGATATCAGCCAAGAATCTCCAGTGAGACAGGAAGGGGTATTTTATAGACCCTTTCACATTTAACCCTTTATAGGGCTTCTACACATACAATAAACTTTGCTGGTATCAGACAAAGTGTAAACATCTCTAGTGAGACATGAAGGGGTGTTTTATAAACCCTACATACTTAACCCTAAATAGGGCTATAACACATACAAATCACCTTGCAGGTATCAGCTAAAAGGCAAATTTCTCTGATGAGACAGGAAGGGGTGCTGCCCCTACATACTTATAAATACTTAATAAGACAAACATGGGGTGGCTGGCAGCAACGTAACATAGCTGTGTGATAAAAACATCATATACAAACAAAAAGATAAAGCACCGCGCTTACAGCAGCAGTAGCTTAGTATCAAACAGCTTAAAATACATAGTAAAAACAAAGAGAACGTTACCTATTTAGCAGAATCTCTCCCGTCGCTCCTTGCTCAGTCATACTGTGCTCCAAGCAGTGTTCATGTCTTTAGTCGTTGTATATTTGATCTCTGCTATTTTACCCTTGCCTGTTTACTGGTACAAGATCCTATGCTATTAATAAAATAAAGCAAAGTAGGCACACTCAACTATTTACTGTAAAGTAGCCCCTAAATGGAGCTCTATAAGAAAGTATTGGGTTCTCACTTACATAAGGCTCTATCCCCAAAAGCCCATATAAATGTGAATACAAATAGAGTAAGGAGCATAGCCTTAAATGTTTATATACAAAAAAAATCTTTATTGAATGGGTACACACTATTAGAGTATCACTTTAAATATAAAACAAAAAAAGTAAAAAGTCATAATGCTATAAAGCAACTACCAGAAAAAATTTCTGGATATATAAACGCCAAATGCGTAATGTATGAATGACAAGAATATTCATAACCTAAGCAAGTAAATAAAATACTAATACAAACCCCCCAAAAAATACAACATACAGAAAAAATACAAAAAGCATACCAGACCTGTGAGAAGCAGGGACAGAGTCAATCAAAAAGCCCCCAACGTTTCGGCAAAAAGCCTTTATCAAGGGAGCGTGTTGAAAGAGACTACATCCTATCCTTATATATCCAAAAAGAACACATGCAATAAAAACAACTGAAAATACTGGGTGGCCACCATTAATGATTGAGATCCTCACAACCATAAGCACCTGTTTATGGTTACCAAGGAAATCAAAAACAATAACATATGCAACTATCATACATATAACATTCAATATAAGGAATGAAAACTACAGACATGAATAATTGGTGTGATGATCAGGATCAGGCTGTGGCCATCAAGATATACATTTAATAATTGCTAGTATCGTAAGAGAATGACAGATATATAACAAAAGCATCATACAGTCATTTAATCAATTATCCGGATAAATAACAATATGTATATATCGACATCAAGTGACTCAAACTGAGAGTCATAATAAAAAGAAAAGTAAGGCATAAGATAAGAACAGTCAGATATAGATACCGCACATGGAAAATGAGCCAGCCGATCAGGCAACTTGAGAACGTTAACTTAGATCCATTAAGCATGGAATAGAGGCGCGAGCCGCATCGTGCGCCTCAAAATGCCGAACCCGGAAGTGGGCTGGACAAAGTGGAACGCATATGCGTTCCAACGTACCTGGCTGTGAAAGCCGGTCTATGATCGGTGCATGCGCAAAGCGCCAGTGCTGAAAACACTGGCAAAGATATATGCTATCAGTGTGCTGAACGGCAAAGAGTATATTTCTATGAATGAAAATCGGAAAAAAGCCTTATACAGCTCCTATAGGGAGCAAAAAGTTAATGCCTAAGTCAAGGTTCTTAAAGCAAAAAACTAATGATAATATATCAATAAAGGATTAATAAACAGAGGATTGCAATTAACCAAATAAGAAAAAATAAGAAAAAATTATGATAAATAATAAAGAGTGAAAATAAATTATAAAAAAATTATAAAAAAGTACTGAAATTAAATATTCTAAGATGAAAAAAATAATAACAAACAAAAAACAGACTGGAGTAGGAACCTATCCACATAGTAAGGCCTTCAAGAATCAATCCATAAATAAGAATAAGCATTTTCAATTCAGACATATATAAGCATAAATATCTCCAATGTTATAAAGACAAGGATGCATGCTTATCTAGTCAACTTAAAGCCACAGAGTAATAGATATATACACATTTCTGAATAATCTAACAATATTTGTAAAGCCAATAATCTGTTCACACAAAAATGTTTATGACAATAATATTCCAAAAATATCCGTAATAGTTCTATAAACACATTTCTTCTAACATAAGGGATTAAGAGAAGAAGTCAAGATTCAGTGGATCTTCCTGGAAGGTATCCAATACATGGGGGGCCACCCAGAAGAAGAACCCAATCGGAGAAAAGACTAAAAAAAGAGATAAAATCATTAATAATAACCAAGTATCAGGCACATCACAGGCAGAGGTAATAAACACAAGGAAACACCTCAGTGTGATCCATATAAGAAAATAACGACAGTAAACGTCGTCCTATTTCGTAACAGATGAACCAATTGCATGTGGCTATTTTACCTGAAGGGATTAAAATCACAATCTTCATTTAACCCGTGAGGGAATAATGTATCCAAACGATAGATCCACCGCAATTCCACACGCTTAAGTGAATCTGCAAGGGAACAGCCAGAGAAGGGTGTCTTAATAGGTTCTATAGCCTGAAAACGCAATTGCGCCACAGAGTGGCCTGAATCAATAAAATGTTTTGCAAAAGAAATGTGTCATTTTTTTGTGCAAATGGTACTTTTGTGTTTGCCAATGCGCATGGTTAGGGGTCTAGACGTTTGACCGACATAGCCAAGACCACAGGGACATTTGATGAAATAAATTGCACGGTCAGTTTGACAGTTGAAGAACTCCTTAATACCGAACCCTTTTCCTGTTCTCGGATGCGTAAACTCAGAGCCAGTGGTAACATTATTGCAATAGATAACAAGCATGAAGGATAGTGTACCCACAAGGAAAATAGGAGTCAAAAGGGGAGCAAGTATTAGATTATTAATTATAGACTAGAACATATAGGGCTTGGAAAAGACCTCAGTGTCTACAGACACAATAAAAATAAAAATAATAAACAACTTCATTGATATTAGAGATTAAAACACAATGATTCGAGTGAATCCAAAAAGGAATAGAAAAAACAAATAAATATATATAAGTATGTACTAACTTAGCTAAAAACAAAAAAGGTACATCTTAAAGGTATGACATAAATCCCAATGTCTCTAAGGATATATATATCTGTATATAGACACAGCACACATCTGTGCTGTGTAAAACAAGAAGGGGAAGAAAAAAAGGGGGGGAGGTCTAAGTGTATAGCTGTATGGATACCAGAGATGATATAGTATATAAGTGCTGGAACCGTAGAGTAAATGAATAGTTGGTTAAATAGTTACTATACTATCATAAGTCCCAATCGTTACATCAATGTCTGCAGACGCTTGGGTAGTTACAAATGAAATGTTCGATACTATGTTGTCAGTAAGTAGCAATTGAATGCTAAATACTATAACCAGATCAGAAATCCTAAGTAATTGAATGGAATAGATAGAAATAAGAGACTTAAATAATATAGTAAGATAATAACTAAACTCTCTAAAACTTCGTCACCACATCGGCATCTGGAGGGTATACAACAGGCTTAGTAAAGTGGAAAGCTATGTTAGTAATGCATAACCTAATGCACGTGAAATACTAAAACTGAGGAGAATTGTAAGGTATTTAGTAAACTATCTATAGCTAAATCACCCCATCTGCATCTGAGAGGTATATTGCAGGCTCGATTAGGTAGAAAGCTATGTTGGCAATGCGTGACCTAATCTACGTGGAATACCCAAACTGAGAGTCGATCAAAGTGATGAGATAGATAGACGAAGAAAAAACAAAAGGACTAGTCCTATACACTACAACCCCCCATGTGCCTTCGTGGGCACCACCAACTAACCCCACTGAGAATAAAAAGAAAATCCCTCAAAGAACATCAAACGAAATAAATAAATAAATATAGTTAGATAAACAGCTAGATAGCACCTAAGTCCCCTGACACGCGCGTTTCACTCTCAAAGCTTCTTTACCATGGGCCCTCAGTAAAGAAGTCCTCTCCAGGTCTTTCACTTTAACCAATGCTTCCTGTAAGGAGGTTTCCCTATAACCACGGGAACGAAAATCTTCCAACATCCTCCTCGCCTGGGTATCAAAGTTTGCTTCTGGTGACACAATCCGTCGAACACGTAATAGTTGACTAAAAGGAAGACTTTGGATCATGCTGGCAGTATGAAATTAATTTGCCTGTAGAAATGCAACTTTATCAGTTGGTTTTCGAAAAAGATCAAAACACAGACCATCATTGATTTTACTCACCCGAATATCCAAGAAATGTATTCTACTGGCATCATATTCCAAAGTGAATTTGATGCTTGGCACTTATTGATCCAAGTCCATTTTGAATAAAAGAAGGTTTGCCTCTGAGCCGTTCCAAAGAAAGAATACATTGTCGATATAATGAAACCAAACAACTACAAACTTGAATAAAGGATGTGGAAATACGAAATCTTCTTCAAACTTGGCCATATACAGATTGGCGTATGATGGAGCCATTCCCTGTATCTGTAGAAATAAATCATTTCCAAAGGTGAAGTAATTACATGATAAAACCAAATCAAGTAGCTGTAAAACAAATTCATTCAAATTTGAATCCAACTCAAGTCTGCTTTAGGCTTGTGCTGTAGCCTCCATGCCTCCCCTATGTGGAATGGATGTATATAAACAATTTACTCAAGAAATCACTGGTATCCCGTATGTATGATCTCATCTGTACCACCAACACTTGTAAATAGGCGTCAACATATTGGACCAAGGGCTGTAGCAATGAGCCACAACCCGACACAATCGGCCTGCCCGGGGGATTCATAAGATCCTTATGAATCTTGGGAAGCAGGTACAAGAAAGGTACACGAGGTGTGGGTGTATTCAAAAATTCAAAGCTTTTTGTTGATTAAACCCTGAATCAACGCCTCAAGGGTGATGACCCCAATTCTTTCTTGGAACTCTTTTGTTGGGTCCCCCAAAAGTTTTTCATAGTGAACCCGGTTGGATAACTGTGTCATGGCTTCTGTATTGTATTTTTCAATATCCAT